ACAAAGACTAGGCAAAGACAAAATACAATGGAAAAGACAAGTGTAACAAAATTGTTAAGTTCCTATGTGCATTCATTTTAATATAGTACTCAGCTCATTTATGTAAATCACAGTCCAATCATTTTAATAAAAATTATAACCTATATACTATAAACTATACCTACAAATAATATACTTGCTAATTACAGGAATCCAAATAATGTATCACTATTAACATGTATGTAAATCTATGTATAGCTAAAATATTATTTAAGATTTAACATGTTAATGTAATTTGAAAAGTAATTTTAAATATTTTTGAATCTTAAACTTTCATAGCAAGATCACCAGGTATTGTTTAAATGAAAGCTCTTAATTAGCCACCTCCAATTATAGGTTGACATTGCTCTGTCCATATCGCCCAAACATTATTCCGCATTGTCATCCTGTCACATGGGCTTCTAATAGATCCTATCAGTGGCTGTTTCAACACAAGTTACTCAGACATGGTCCACACCATAAAGCCAATGCTGGAATGTATGCATGTAAACGGGAAAATGGTGAAAAGAAGCTGTAGGAGACCAGTAGCCTTGATTTGCAACAAATGATAAAAAGTAATAATACAATAAGAAAATAAAAAATAGTATTTTATTTTAATAAAACTACAAAAATACACTGTGCTTTAGAAAACTAAATGTCATTCAGTAGGGTTTATATATACTTTAATAGGCTTAAAAACATTTTTTAAAAAATGGAGAGCTGAGTACTACTTTAAAATATATTTGCACATTTGTATAGCATGACAGCTGTCCTTTAATAGGCAAAAATGTAATTTAGCCACTTTCCGCCAAGGTCAATTCTGACATTTCTAACATACATGTTAAAATCTGCACTTTTTTGCTAAAATTTACTTAGCACCTCAAGACATTATATAATTTCTGAATGCAGACGCACTGGAGAATAAAATGTTATTTATTGCAATTTTTCATGTCACACGATAATTGCAAAGCTATTTCTCAAATACAAATTTTCAGAAAAAATATATTTGAATACATTTTCGTGCATACAAACACAATATAATACCAATTTGTGGTAACATATAAAAGATTATGTGTTTGTGCCAAGTAATTAGATACCAAACAAGTAAAGATTTAAAATGTAGCATGGCCTTGAAATAGTGGCAAACTGCGGTACCTACAAATCACCATTGGGAATGCTTAAAAAGCATTTGCATTTGCAAGTTACCAGTTTAGAGTTAAAAATTAGCTCTGGTGCAAAAAATATTGTTCTTACTGTGATGTTTGCGGCAATACATTGCATGTACATTTACATTTACATATTGTGATCTGGGGTAGCTCTGGAATGACCGCCAGCCAGGTTGGTAAAAGCAAGACAGTTCATTTATTTGAATCAAGGATAAATAAAAGACAGCTTACTTCAGCCTAAGTCAATAAACAATCCTGGTATCAAAAAACGAAATCTTTGGTCCCATACTGGGGTTAGACTCCTCTATAGTAAGGGTGTCAGGCAGGCCACATGGGGGTTAGCAGCCCCTGTCTCAGCTTGTCTGAGAGTTCACACTTGCCACACAGCTTTTGGGTCTTTCTTCCCTGACACAGGTGCTGCTTTCCCTCTGCTTCCTTTCAAGCCTTCTTCACCTGGGACTTAACCTCCCTGGCAGTATTCCCGAGTGTAGCTCGGGGTTAATTTTCAGTACCAAAGCAGTAACCCCGAGCTACACTCGGGATTACCCTGCAGCGTTGCTTTGGGATTCCGTTTCACTTACCTTGTCCTGCGGTCCCCGATGTCCCCTGCAGCATCCCCAGCCATCTCTTCCGGCCAATGCCGGCATCCGTCTTCTGGGTTCCGGTCCCTGCGAGCATCGGGACGTACAGGGGTTGGAACCAGTCGGAAATGTAAAAATTTTAAAAAGTGACATTCTCCAAATACTCTAAAATCACATAGTAAAACATTACTGTATCAAACCATTTCACATACATTTTGTCTCTAGTGCTTTGTCTAGTGCCCTGCGTGCATTTTTACTGTTCTTTCTGCCTTGAAAGTGAGAAAAGTCCATGGCGTCCAAAAAGCATCCCTTTATGTCAAAAGTTGTTTTAGACCATCTAGAGAACAGCGATAGTAAATTAGAACCACTTGCAGAATTGAGTGATAATGATTCGTGGGGAAATTTGTCATCAGACACTGAAAACGATTTTGCGACTTTGCTCAGTGATGTGCAAACTTGGCGCTATATTTCAAATTTCAGTGTTTTTTTGGTTTGATTATATTATTGAATTCAATTTATTATTATTATATTATTAATTTTATGATTAGTTATTATATTATAATTTATGATTTTGTGTTTCAAATTTTATCATACCCGGGATGTTTACTAGACTCTTGTTCGGACAGATTTCAGTGAGTTATTCCTAAAAATTACAGGCCTACAATATAAAAACGACATATTTCCATGCAAAAAAATGTACAACTTTGAGCACAGAAATATTGACATAATCAGACCGCTAGGAAGGTTAATCCCTTCTGGAAGGAAAGTTCTGGTAGTCAGGGTTTGGAAACTCTTCCCACCCAAGTCTCTTTGAATCTCTGAAATCCCGGGTCCTTAACTTCTTGGAGCCAACATCACAAAAATATGCAACCTCACAGAACTGGGCTTTTTTTCATGGCACCATATAATTGCGTATCTGTCTTTGTGCTGGGAGCGCGCGCGCCGCACGGCAGAGTAGAGTAACGATCGGGACCAGGGACTTTCGATTCCAGGTCACACGATCACTGTGATAGCCTCTGATTGGCTATCACAGTGAAGCCAACCCCCCTTGTTTTTTCTATCTTTGAATGTAGGAGAGAGATACATTGTGTCTCTCTCTCTCCTTGCAGAGTGAGAAAAAAAAAACAAAACAACTGTTTGTAAAAAAAATAAAGAAAGGAAAAAATAAAGAAAAAATGCCTAGCTCAAGGTTTAATCTAGTTCAGTGCCAGGGTTAGTGTTTAGGTCAAGGTCAGAGTAAAAGCACAAGGTCAAAGGTCAGGGTCAAAGGTCAGGTTTTTTTTTTTTATAATTGGTATTAGTGTCAGTTAGTGTCAGTGTTAGTGTGTTTTAGGTAAAAAAAAACCTCACAATACTGTGGGTACAAACAACAAATAACATACACATATATGGTATCGCTGCGATTTTCAAGAGCTGTAACATTTATCTTTGGTTGTTCTTTTGTAGTAGGTTATGGTAGTAACAAGAAACACACAGCTAAATTTAAAAAAATATATATTTTTTTTACTGTTTTGGCCCAGGTTTCCTTTGATAATAAAGAAAAAATCAGGGGATATCCTTTATCATTCACCACCAAATGAAAGCCCAGTTTTTCTTGAAAAAAACAAGGTATAATTCACCTGGATGTACAAAGTAGTTGGGATGATATGTACGGTTTTACTAACACATGGTGAAGTTATAAAATTTTACTTAGGCTTTAAGATTTGTTTTTACTCTTAGGCGTGAAGGGGTTCATAGCAATCCAGAGAAAACTGGAAATCAGTCCTCTCCAGCCAAGTTTAACCCAGGACACCTCATCCTGCATGGGGAGAACCCCTGAGTACCAAAATGTCTCTACAACTGTACCGCTTAAAGGGAACCACAACCTAAATATAGGGACACATTGCTGTTCAATATATACACTTAGTGTGTTGAACTGTTATGTTCGCATAAAACATGCAAATCACAATTGTGCCAAAAATATATATGAAAAGTCCTCAAATAAAATCTGATGATAAAAACAACAAAGATATCCACGTGTGAAAAAAGTAATAAATATATCCACTTGTGTAAAAAGAATTTCCCTCATTCACAGACTACCATTCACCTCTTGCCAGAGCCTAAGACCCGCATTAGAGAGGTCTGAGCAAGCTTGCAATAAGTTCATCCCATCTGGTGGCTCAGAATCTCTCACAGCATGGAGGATAAAACTCTTTAATGATCATCCAACAATATGTAGAGCAATCTCTCGCAAGAGGAAGGGGGAGAGGGAACTCCATAATGTAGTACATTAAAATCACTTTATTAAACTATGCATAAATATACTCACAGGAGTAGAAGTAACATAGACATGTAATACAAACAACAATGCCAGACCTCTGGTAACCCTCCGAGGACATCCTGTGGAATGAAATGCTTCAGGGATTGGCCACAGAGGTGATTCAATCACACCGGCGAGGTCTGTTTTTTGCTTCTTTTTTTTTTTTAACTGTATTGCTATCACAAGGATGAACTATATATAGCATGGGTTATAACAGGTACTATTTATTGAGAGATCAGGGGTCTGTAAGACCCTGCTGCAGCCATGATCCTGGTATCAAATTTGCAGCTGGTGATGGGCTTACTGTAAAAGTAATCTGAGTAGCTTTGCAGCTGCCCTATCACTTTTACAAAGTGCCTGTGGAGATTTAGGTACCACGTCCACCTGAGGATGTACAGGTATGTCGTAAGGGCTAAAAGTGGTTAAGCTATTGCTATCCTTTTCCAAAACTGAAATATAGTATAGTAAATGGAAAATACGTTCATTATGTAAGCCTCCAAGTGGAATAATTACATTAACATTGAGGAACAAACAAGAATTAACATTTTCTGTAAAAAAACTTTTGGAATTGAAAAAGATAATGACACAAGTACAGCTAGATGTCATTACATTTTTGACAACTTTGTTCTGAGTCTGAGTTGAATATACAGGAATCTATCATCTTCTTAGGTAAATCTCTTTATCCTTTTTAAGCCAATAATCCAAGTTAGGTAGGCACTGTAGAGAAAGAAGAACACTTTACATACTTTTGATTCCTGGTGTTTACAGGAAATATGCATGCATTAGGCATTTCTGCCTTGCTAAGTGCTCTCAAATTGAAGCAGACATTAAAGTGTTCAGATAGTTGTATTATAAATTTTTAGCAGTGCATATGCTGAAAAGTAAATCATCATTTTAATGCCATTATTTATTTATTTCTTTTTTCCTTCACAATAGAGAAGAAAATCACGGTATTCTGACCTTGACTTTGAAGTAAGTCGACACATTAAATATTGTCTTATTTCACAGCTGTGTTACTTTCAATTATCTTTTAATGTTGATACCCAATTAAAAATGTTAAAAAGAATATTTTTTATCTTGATAATAAAATGTGTAAATAGCTCAGGACTGTATACTTATGTAAAGCTGCAAGGCTGTCTATGCTAATTTCTAGTTGAAAGCTCATCTGTTATGTGCAAATTAAGCTTTGTTTACAGTGTGTCAGTTGTCTACAGGATCCAGGGGAAGAAAAGTTAAAAGTATTCAGCTTCATAGTGACATTACTATCCCGAAACAAACATGTAAACACTTTCACTAAAAGTCAGCATATTTATCTATGCTCATGAAGTGCTCAAAACCCCTCCGCTATTTTGGAGACAATCCAACACACTAGACACTGCTCATTTAGTTTTTTCTTTGCCATGTTTATATATTTTGCTTTTTTTGGTTTGCTCATACAGCCATTTTACAGATTTTGGAATTTCTTTCACTTAGACAAAATCTATTTGGAGTACTGTGTCTCCAGCCAGCTCTTAGTACTCTGGGAATCCTTCATCATTTTTTACTTTTTTATTTGTAAGAAAAAGGGATATATTTCTAAAACAGTAAATATGTCATTCACCAATTTAAAACTAAAGTTACCAGCCACAGTAATAGTTTAAACACACATTAAAGAATAAATCAATCACTAAATAATGTTGACTTAGAACTAATATAGTTTTCCTTTAAATATGACTGCAGCAAAACACATATGTCTTAAATTAAGCAACCCTTACCTTAACATTGCTTTGTGATCCCTGGCATGAATTAAATTAGCAACCGTTGGCTTTTAGCACTCAGATTTCCTGTTTGTCTATTCCAATATGTTCATGACATACAGTATTTACAAGATAACAGACTTCCTAATGCTGTTGTTCAGGTGGGAAATATTGGTGGAAATAGGCAGGTACATGAAAGTCACTGGAGCCTCGGGACCCACTTCAGTTCTTATCCCAATGTGACACTATGCAATTCAATTTCTGCATGCACTTATTATTCTCTAAGAGGTCAATTGGTAAATTATTGTGAGCAATGAAATTAATCAGAATTATACATTGCTCATAACTTCTTGATTGTGGCCACCCTAAATCATAGAAAGCAAGCATTCAAAGAACTTCCCTGTTGGGTTTAGATACAGGCATGGCTGTTATCTGCAATTAGGAAGCGATGATAGTACAGAAAGGGTTGCAGACAGTGCCGCATCAAGAGGTCATGCAAGAAATGGTATGTACAGTCAATGCATATGTTTTCAGCCATATTCAGGTCATTGCATTGTTTACATCCCTCTGGCAGCTTCTTGATCTGTGGTCTATGTCTGTTCAGTTCAGCCCCATGGGCTTCTATAGGGATGGTAGACTGATCCATCCTTCTTCCGTCCTACCAGACCCCTGGAAGTTTATGGGGCTGAAATGAGAAGTCATGGATGTCAGGTCAATAAGCCAATTGAGGGATGTAACCAATGCTGCAGGTCTTGGACCAACATTCAGGTAAATATAGTGATTTAGGAAAGAGGGGGTGGTTTAGACCTACTTAGGTAACTGGGGGAAAAAGGTAAGAACACTCCATGGGAAAGTTTCTTCGCACTTTAAATAGTATACGCCTTTATTAGTGTAGCACCTATCAAGTGTTTTACTTCCTTTTTTGTATCACCTACATTACAGGGCAATTAAAAGCAATATATATATATATATATATATATATATATATATATATATATATATATTTAGTAGGTGACATAAATAACTATACATGTAAAATGAAAATGTAGTTAGACCACAGCATACTGCCCATTTCATTTTTTAATGTGCAACACCACCGATATGAAAGAAGTCCTAAGCACAGAAACTGGTTATGTGAATTGATTGTGCAATTGCCTTTATATGACAAAGATTTGTAGGTTCGCAATAAATTACAAAAACATGCTTAAAAGCAAAGCATCTATTTATTAATATTAGAACATGTTGCCATGGGTAGAACAATATAAAGACTCCTAATTCCAACCCCTAGGACACAGAGATGTTTCAGATTCCATAGTCATTTTCATTGACTCATAAATATTTTTATTTCTGTAAAAGATAACTGATATAAATCAGCAGAGATAGAAAACAACACACTGTAATATCTGAGGAAAACCAGTCACAAATGCCAAGAGTGAACAATGAATAATCACTGTGGATCGTTTTATAGAGCTGCAGTACATTCTATAGCAGAATGTTCGCTATGGCAACTGTTGCTAAGGTTCCTAAGTCTGACGTTTCTTTTGCTTCAGTGCTGCATGTTGCACTGCAGATATTTGAACAAATAATATAGCCCAAGCTAATGAATAATTTAAATAGCTCTATTTTTCTTTTATAGTTAAACCCTAGGAATGCTCAGAAACAGACTAAAAAAATGAGCTGCTGTTAAAAATAACTATGTAAACAACATATATGATTAAGATCAGTACACCATGAATAAGAGGCTATTTAAAATTCTACTTATTATGTGCACTGTTTTCTACCAATATACAACTTATCAAGTGTATATACAGTATATATACTCTATATATTTATATGTTAGGAATCAAATTTTACATTTTTTTTATTGTTTTTTATGAGAAGCAAATCAGGTATAATATTTGTTTTAGGTAAATCATATATCTTTTATTGTGACAGTGTATGAAATGTGTGCATATGCAATTTTGCAAATGACTTACACAAAAGATTTTACATTACATATAAAGCATAGGACTGATTCACATTTATGTTTTACTGTACTTGTTTTATTACACATCAACACATGCACACAGGTTTGCCAATGTTTTAAATGGTGCTACCTTGCATATGTGCGATGTATTGATGTGAATGTTCATTTTTATGCATCAAAGTGTGTTACATAGTCTGTTGATGACAATTATAGAGCATGAAAATGCATGATTGTATAATGCAAGGAAGGACATTCAGATAAGTGTGATTCCATATTATAGATCATGTAATAAAATAATAGTCCCATAATCTGTTCAGACCTATATATGCATAATTATATAGTTACATAGTTAGTCTGGCTGAAAAAAGACAAAAGTCCATCCAGTTCAACCAAACAAAAAAAAAGTTATAATCCTATACCCACAGTTGATCCAGAGGAAAGAAAAAAAAACAGCAAAGCATGATTCAATTTGCCCCTACAGGGGAAAAAAATCCTTTCTGATCACCCGAGAGGCAATCGGATATTCACTGGATCAACTTTACCTATAAATGTTAGTATCCAGTTATATTCTGTGTATCCAAGAAAGAATCCAGGACTTTTTTAAAGCAATCCACTGAGCTAGCCAGAACCAACTCTTGAGGGAGTCTATTCCACAATTTCACAGCTCTTACTATGAAGAAACCTTTCCATATTTTGGAGATTAAATTTGTTTTCCTCCAGACGTAAAGAGTGCCCCCTTGTCCTCTGTGATGACCTCAGGGTGAATAGCTCTACACTGAGTTCACTATATGATTCACTGATGTATTTATACATGTTGATCCTATCCCGCCTTAATCTCCTCTTCTCATGAGAGAATAAATTCAGTTCCTCTAATCTTTCCTCATAGCTGAACTCCTCCATGCCCGTTATCAGAGTGGTTGTCCTTCTCTGTACTTTCTCCAGTTCCCCAATGTTCTTTTGTGAATTGGTGCCCAAAACTGAACTGCATATTCTAGATGAGGTTTGACTAAGTGTTTTAATAAGTGTGTTAATAAGTGTTTTAAGATCTGTGAGCACTAAGGCCAAGGGACTCCATATTTTAATCAATGAATGCAATCAACATCGCTGAGTACCACCATGTAATGGAAGGGAATAATATTCTTGAATATTATGAGTAACCCTGACATCTTTTCCAAATTAGAGGAAGGTGGTACAAATCAGTATGCCATCCACTTATGCTGCTATATCATCAATACCTTTTTAGTGGGACCTGCTGATACTGGCACCTGTTGATTCCATCACACTGCATTAAGCAAAGACAACTCGACGGGATGCTCCAGGCAGACTAAATCAAATTTGCGTTGTACCACGGACAAGATGCCAGCAACCAACAATGATATAACTGGTTCTGGGGGGATAAATTTGATAGAATTTTTTTTTTCACTCATTTTACTAGTAAATGTTTACTAGCAGAATAATATATATTTGGTAGTAATTTCTGTAAGCATTAGCAATACTTCAGTCATTGCTGCAGCTGCAGCAGTTAATAAGGTATCAATTTTTAGGGCCAGTGATTTCCTTCAAAGTAAAAGTAAGCCAAGCAGCTATACAGCCACTGGATCACTTTTACATATGGCTTTTCCAGGTTCTCCCATCCAAATCCTCTTAGCTCCCAGAGCTTACATTTCATGTTGGTGATGTCTTGGTTTCACACATTATACCTTTTTAGTGTTTGTAGTTTACCCTAGCATATTGTACATTTTTTTCAGGACAGATAGGGCTTTATTTGGTAACAAATTTGGATACATATTTTTTATTTCCTTGGTTTTTATTGGAAATATATTTTTTTATAATTTGTTCACTCCAATATATTTACCACAAAATATAATCAACAAAGCCTGCTGAATAAAATTTGACAGTATCACATTACTGTGACTTTTATGTAATGTAGCAGAATGGTAATGTTAAGGGTACATTCACACCAGGTCTGGTGGGACTGCATTGGGCAGCTATTGCAACACAGTTGCAAAGCACCCCCATCACAAGACAAGGCAAAATGCCTTGTCTCTAGTGTGTCTGGTTCACACCACTGCATTGCAGTGGTTTGTGCAGAAAAAGTATTGTATGCAGTATTTTTTTCAAGCGCAGCACCGCATGCCAGCCAATAGAACTTTATGAAATGTTACTGTGTGCAGTTTCAGCAAAGTTCATTAAAAAAAGTGAACAGTGCAATGCACCACAATGCACACTGTAACGAAGGTAAGAGCCTTAAGCTTTTTTCTACGGTACAT